TGCACTTAGAGGGAGCAAATGCCAGTGTAAAGACGTGGACTTAGAGGTTTTAGGAGCTCAGCCTCCTAGCTTGGAACAGCACAAGAAACTTCAATAATTTCATTTGTTTGCAGTGACAAAGAGTTGGCAAAGAGAAGCTTGCAGAGTTTGGAAAGGCTCTTTTGGAAGGAAAAAATGACTTGTGTTTACATTTTTGCCTGGGTTCTTCCATTAGAGTGACTGCCAGATGTTTTCTTGTACTTTCTAAGCTAGCGTGTCATGTCCATAAGGCTCCTTTGCTCTGGGCTGAGTGTGTAATTCAGTTAGCAGAGTGCTTGCCTAGCTTGCACAGAGCCCTGGGTTCCATCCCCAGCACAACATAAAACTGGGTGTGGTCGTGCATTCCTGTAATCTCAGCCCTTGGGAGGTGAAGGCAGAGGTTGAGTTTCATTATTGGCTACAGCAAGGGTACTATCCTGTCTCCAGTAGGAAGGGAGAGGCGCCTTTGCTCAAAGAGCTTGAAGGCTAAGCATGAGTGCGTGGACAACTGAATCTCCCGCCAGGTCAGCAAAGTTTCACTTGCTGTTGTGTGTCGCCAAAGCTCGCTGTCATCACCCTAGTGTTTTCCTTTCCCTCATGTAACAGCAACAGTGTTTAACAATAAAGAAGCAGAGAATACACATAAAACAGTGTTATGTAGCCACTGAAAAGGATGCTGTGGGTTTGGAGAAATAGCTCAGAAGTTAAGGCTGCTTTCGGTTTATGTCAGTTTCTTTTCTATTGCTCTGACACGATGTGGTGACCAATGCAGTTTACAAAGGAAAACATTTAAGCTGGGTGTGCTGGCCTAGGCCTTTAATCCCAGCACTGGGAGACAGAGGCAGCAGGATCTCTATGAGCTCAAGGCCAGCCTTGAGCTACAAAGCAGTTCCAGGACAGCCAGGACTGTTACACAGATAAACCTGTTTAAACAGCAATGAAAAAAACCATTTAATTTGCCTTGTTGTTTCGGAGGGTTAGAGTCCATGATGGGGGTGAAAGGCATGATGCCAAGAACAGCTCACACTTTAATAATAATGCATGAGTGCTTTAATAATACACTTTAAGAATACTGCGTTATTGTAACAAGCAGACAACACTAATGGACGATGATGTTAATAACGGGAAAACTGGGGGGATAGGGAACTCTGCGCTTCTGCACATCTACAGTTGTTCAAAAATAAACTCTAAAAGTAAAGCAGATGGCAGTAATGAGCTTCAGGGCTACTGCCAGTTCATAACATTTTTACAGACTCGGGACATAGGTCTACCATTTGTTCTCCCACACAAGATAAAAACAGGGCATCCTTGTGGTTTGTCCCCGAACACTTCTCAGACCCTCCAAAGATGGGAGAATCTGCACCCAGAGCTAGTGAGACAATTAACAGATTTTTTTGTTTGTTTGTTTGAAACAGTGAGCGCACACACACACACACACACCTATACGGGCCAGGGGGCTAAAAAAGGATTTTGAATCTCCACAAAGCCACACTGAATTGTTCTCTAGCACACACCCAGAAGGGGCAGCAGCTGGGTAGTTCAAGATTTTGAGGAACACACCAAGGGCCAGAAGTCCAGGAAAGGCATCATGCAAAGCAAGATTGGTCTGTCCCCCTTCTCCAGCAGTCAGACAGAACCAAGAACAGAGGTGGGGGAAAGACAGTCTTTGGTTTTGTTTAAAGATCCTTTCTTGGGGCTGGAGGGATAACTCAGTGGTTAGGAGCACTTAGTGGCCAGCGAGCAGTGGCGCACACCTTTAATCCCAGCGCTTGGGAGGCAGAGGTAGGCAGACCCCTATGGAGTTCTTGAGTCCAGCATGGTCTATAAAGCAAGTTCCAGGACAGCTAGGACTGTCACACAGAGAAACTGTCTCTTGCTGGGGTTGGGGGACACAAAAGACACACAAAAAAGAGCACGTATTGTTCTTCCAGAGGACCTGAGTTCAATTCCCCTATGAACTGGTTCACAAACTTCCGTAATTCCAGCTCCAGGGGATCCGCTGCCCACTTCTGGCCTCCAAAGGCACCTGCTTCCATGTGGCTTTCACTCACACATACACCTAAATAAAAATAAAATCTACTTCCGTCATTTCATTTGAAAATGATTAACTTCAAAAACAAATATAAATAAAACAAAGAAATCGGGAACTCATATAACACAGGAGGGCCTGGAACTCCCCCTGTAGCCGAGGGATGACCTTGCCGCCACCTCCCACAAGAAGGACCGTGGGTCTCCACCACCAAGCCTCGGAGTGCTGTCTACAGTCAAATCTGCCCTTTCTTAGAAGGGGGAGATGGCCTCCCTACACTTCTTCAGAGCACCTACCCTGTCTTTTAAGCCACTCGTTCGCCTTCTCCTCTCAGCCAATCCGGTGGAGAAGCTGAGTGAGCGTCACGAGTTTCTGGGCAGATCCGGGAACTCCTCGGAGCGGCGGCGGCGGCGGCGGCGGCACGCAGCGCCCCCAGCAGGGACGCGGACTCAATGGTCGGAGCGCGCGGCCGTTTCGAGCGCACTGGCAGCCCCGCTGTTCAGTCTGTGGTCCCCTGGCATCGAGGAGCGAGGAGCGCCGGTGGGGCCAGAGGGACACGCGGGCAGCTCCGACTCCGTGAGGTTTTTGATTCCTATTTGCTTTTTTTTTTTTTTTTTTGGTCGGTTTCTACCTGTGAGATCCAGGAGAGGATCCGCTGGTGGGGGGAGCTCGCCAACACTCCTGGAAGTTTTATTTCCACATATTGTTAAATGTTTTAAACAATGCCTGCCTTTTCATGCCTTCACGCCACTTTCCCAGCTAGAGGGAACCTCCTTACCAGCAAATGCTGGCCTTTTGTGCCCCGTCCAAGTGCCCGGTCCCACAAGTATTAGCTGTTTTCTTTGGGTCAGCCCCTGGTAATTGCTGACTGACTATAACCATTCCAGTCTCTTGGAGAAAACAAAGGGCCCTGCCTTCATGGTGCTTATAGTCCAGGGGAGAGAGACATAGCCTAGGAGTCGGGGAAAAATGTTTCTGGCATACAACCACCCCATTCCCCACCCCCACCCCCACCCCCAGTGTCAAGAGAGATATTTATCCAGTGGCCAAAGATGGGAGAACTCTAAGTTTCGCTTGAAAATAACTTCTCAACTCTAGCGGGTGAGGGGTTAGAGAGGACAAGTATATCATGACTATGAGGGAGGGAGAAAGGTTGGGGGCCTGGGCAGGGTGGGGTGGTGGTGCTTTCTGGGACTAAGTGAGGACCTTCCGGGACTCAGGGTTATGTCATGTGATCCCTTTTTGCTAATTTCATAGTCTTTTCTAGTCACCACTGCTGTGGGTGACTTTAAAGGCTAGGTCATTTTTACCCTGTATTGTAGTTTTGGACATTAGAAGCTAATACTACTTCCAGTAGAATTTTGAATAATGGTATCATCTCTGGAATGAGCTCACAGCCTGGTTGGTTGGATGGTTGGTTTAGAAAGTTAGGTTCTCTGTAGCCTTGGCTGGCCTGAAACTCAGTATGTAGATCAGGCTGGCTGGCCTTGAATTCAGAGAGCTATACCTGCCTCTCCCTCTCAAGTACTGGCATTAAAGGAGTGTGCCACCATGCTCGGTTTACAGTGGTTATTCTGGAAAAATAACATTCACTTGAAAGTATTACTTGTTTTTTGTTTTTCGAGACAAGGTTTCTCTGTGTAGCCTTGGCTGTCCTGGACTCACTTTTTAGACCAAGCTAGCCTCAAATTCACAGAGATCCGCTTGCCTCTGCCTCCCCGAGTGCTGGGATTACAGGTGTGCGCCACTGTGCCCAGCTTGGAAGTATTATTTTTGATATTCCTGTTACATATATACAAAAAACAAACAAACAAACAAAAAAACCTAAAACAAAAGAAAACTGACCCCCAAGTCAAACCAAAGCAAACCCCTTTCCTTCAGGCCAGGTATGTCACTTAGTGTAAAGCACTAGTCTAGCAGACTAGAGGCCCAGGTTGCATCCTCATGAGGGAAACAGACAGATAAAGAGGAGAGGAGAGGAAAGAATAAAAGAAGCTCTTAGAAGAAGTTAGTTTAGATGGAGTTTTTGTTTTGTTTGAGTTGGGGTTTGAAAGAAAACAAAACTGGGAATGGCGGCACGAGCACGGACTCAGAAGGTGTAAGCTGGAGCCAGCTGAGGCGGGAGCCCATTTGTTTGTTGGATGTGGTGGCAGATCAGGGAAAAACAGTGGTCTTGAGAGATGTCTCCCTTAACCTCAGAAAGCAAGCTTCCAGAGACCGTGCTCTAGGCTCAGGGTCACTTCCCACTGAGCAGGGCCAGCTGAGCGCTGCCAGATTTCGTCCCTCCAAACACCATTTTCTATGTTTCCCCACTGACTTCCTTCTTTGGACTCAGCCAAATAGACAAGACAAACTAGTAAAAGGATATGCACAATGAATCCACACAGGAAACCGTAATCAAACATTTCCCTCCTTCTGACGTTTTCCCTGTCCTTGGGCACAGACCAAACTTAAATCAATTAGCCAAAGGGAGTTCTTTCAAAGCATCACACTGAGTCTTGCCGCAGTGGGGTTTCAGGCCCCTTTCTCTTTTGACATGAAGTCTCGGTTAACCCAGGCTGACCTCCAGCTCTCCAAGGAGAGTGAAGCGTGATGACCTTGAACTCCTGACTCCCCCTTGCTTCCACCTCAGGCACCTCTACGCAGGCACTACAGCATATGGCTTCCGTTTACACATTTTTATTTCTGAAAATGTTCTCCCGGCTGCAGAGTTGGCTCACAGGTTAAGAGCACTGGCTGCTCTTGCAGAGAGGACTTGAGTTGGATTCCCAGAACCTTCATGCTGGCTCACAACTGTGTGCCTCCAGTCTTGGGGACCCGGTGCTGCACCTCCATCAGCACCGGGAACACATGTGTTACCCAGACACGTAAGTTACGAAAATGTAGTGAAAAACTATCTCTTCAGCACGCCTTTCTTTCCTTTTTTCCCCAGCTTTTGGTCATTCTCTCAAGAATGAAAATGCTTCTCTTTGGTGTCTGGACCCTGCTGGCCTTGATCCCTTGTCCAGGTGGGGGCATCTAGAAAACTCCCTTTAGTCACTCTGTGCAATGATGATCATGCAGAAGGGGATGGGGTGAGGGGCAATCAATCATCATCCCATCAGTTGTCAATTTGAGTTGACCTAGGATCACCTAAGAGATGGGCCTGAGAGCTTGCCTGTGGAGGATGATCTTGATTCATTGTCGTGGGAAGATCCACCTGCTGTGGGTGGCGCCATTCAGGTGGATAAAGTGAGGCTGTGGTTGCCCTATTTCAGCTCAGACAAAGCATGTGCTCTTGTGTGGATAGACGCAGGAGGCAGGTTCCAGGAAGGCAGTGCTCTGTGTGGATGATGGGAGTTTTCTGGTTTCGTGTGTTTTCTATTTTGTGTTTATTCTTTATAGAATAAACATGAATTGTATGGCAATACAAGATAAGGGGGGGGGCAGTGACTGGGCAGTAGTGGTGAAGTCTTTCAGGCACCGGGGAGACAGAGGCAGTTGGATGTCAGCCCAGGCTGCAGAGCGGGTCCCAGGATATCCAGGACCACAGGGAGAAAGTGGGCTGAGCACAGGCGTTCCTGCTCCTGATGGTGGCTGCTTGTGACGAGTTCCTCAAGCTCCTCCTGTCTCGACTTCCCTGCTGTGACGAGAAGAAATGTGCCCAAGAACCGTGAGCGGAAACGAACACCTTCCCCCTCAATTGCTTCTGTCAGGTTACTTCATATGACGACAGGGAAAAGAAGTCAGAGAGGTGGGACATCCAGAGCAGGGTGACAGCCGTTCACCTGGACCCTGGGGAGAGACTGCGATTTCTTGGGACACTAGGACACAGAATCCTTGTGTGTGACACTTTAATAGTGTGTCAGAGCTTCAGGCCTCTCCAGAGGGACTGTGTGTCCTCTGCCTTTCCCCTGTTGTCCCACACTGCCCTGTTTCTCTCTCCCTCACACACACACATAACTGATATAAATATGTGTGTGTGTGTATATATATACACTAACAATAAAATTTGCAAAGCACTTTTTTTTTTTTGAGATGGAGTTTCTCTGTGGAGCCCTGGCTGTTCTAGAACTCACTCTGTAGACCAGGTTGGCCCAACCTCACAGAGAACTGCCTGCCTCTGCCTCCCGGGTGCTGGGATTAAAAGTCTGTGCCACCACTGCTCTGACAGTTTTATACGGTGCTGGGGTTTCACGATCATCCTGGACTCCTGTTCCAGGGGATCTCTGGGAAGAGGTAGAGAATTCTTTGGGATATAAGTGAGCACGGGAGCATCTGTGAGGTCTTTCGTTCTCATGGTTTTGTATATAGAAGGGTTCCCTTGAGCCTTGTTTGTTCTCAAGCATGTTTCCAGGTCCCGCCTTCACCAGCTGGCAGTCCCTCGGAGGTGGAGTCAGGGTCTGCAGTTTCATAATCATAGCAGGCGATTCTGGAGAAGGTAGCCTGTAACCCTCATTTGAGAGAAATACTGATTTGCAGTTTAAGACTCCAGCAGAGTCTTTAGTGCCTGAGCCCAGAGAGCTGCTAATCTAAAAGCTAACAAAGAGGATGCTTTCTAGGGTGGGATTTCTCAAAACTCCTTAGATTCTGCGGTAAAACTTAGACCCCAGGACAGAGGGGTAGGAGAGAGGTTGGGATCAGGACTCTCGCTTGCAGATGCGAGGGTTCAGTCTCCAGGTCCCTGAGCTTTGTTCTTGGCAGCTTCCCTCTTCTGCAGCTTAGATCTGATGGGAAGAGTGGCCTCTTTCTTCATCTGGATCTCATGGTCCTCACCAGCATTTTTAGCTTGAGTGCTTCATTTCAGGGACCACAGAAGAGCTGTTTCAAGTGTCTGTTTGGCCAAATCAGGCCCTGGTAGAGTTTGGACAATCCCTAACCATCAACTGCAGCACCACCTGCCCAGAGCCTGGGCCCAGTGGAGTCGAGACCTTCTTAAAGAAGACCCAGCTGAGCAGAGGGCCTCAGTGGAAGGAGTTTCTGCTGGAGGACGTCAGGGAGAACTCTGTCCTGCAATGCTTCTTTTCTTGTTCGGGGGTTCAGAAGGAGACAACGCTTGACATCACCATGTACCGTGAGTACGGTGGAGAGCTCAGAAGGAGAGAGGAGTGGGGAGACAGGAATATGCATCTTATTTAAGGAAGTGTTAGGCAAGGGTTTTCCCTAGGGGCGAGAATTAGACGCACACACGGGTGTGAGGCTTTAAGGGCAGCGGTCACCTTTCTGCAATGCCATTTCTTTCTGGAGGTAAGTAAGTGGCCTCTCACCAAGGCTTGCCCTTTGTCTTAAAGAGCCACCAGAGCAGGTGATCCTGGACTTGCAGCCCGAGTGGGTAGCCATGGATGAAGCTTTCACGGTGAAGTGTCACGTGCTCAGTGTGGCGCCTCTGCAGAACCTCACCCTCACCCTCCTCCAGGGTGACCAAGAACTGCACAGAAAGGCCTTCATGGGTTTCTCTGTGGCATCCCAAAGAGCTGAGGTCACCATCAGTGTCAGAGCCCAACGGGAGAACGACAGGTGCAATTTCTCCTGCCGTGCAGAACTCGATCTGAGCCCACAAGGCGGGGGGCTGTTGCACGGCAGCTCAGCCACCAAGGAGCTCCGGATCTTTGGTGAGTCAGAGTCTAGGCATGGAGAGGGCCCAGGGACTGTTTTGGCCTTTGGGACCCTGTTCCCACAGGGTTTAGGGGTAAGGGTGACTGAGCCCCACCTCTGATTCACCATCAGCCCTATTCCCTTCCATGGCATCCCATGTGACACATGACTTAAGGCTTTCATTCTTTTTCTTTTCCAATTTCCACCAATTACCTGGCAGAATTCTCTCAGAGTCCCCAGATCGGGGTGCCATCACTGCTGGAGGTTGGGATGGCGGAGACTGTGAGCTGTGAGGTGGCTAGGGTGTTTCCTGCCCAAGAAGCTGTCTTCCACATATTCCTGGAAGACCAGGAGTTGAGCCCTTTCTCCTCCTGGAAGGGAGATGCCGCGTGGGCCAGTGCCACCATTCGGGCCATGGAGACCGGCGGCCAGGAGCTGACCTGCCTTGTGTCCCTGGGTCCTACGGAGCAGAAAGTGAAGAAAGCAGTGCATGTGTACAGTGAGTGACCGCCTTTCTCCTCTCAGGGCCTCTCTCCTCTCAGGGCCTCTGCTAGGGGGAGCTTGCTGTGGATTTGGCTGAAGATATTTATCCTTGCTAACCTTTGCTGGGTGTCTCAAGTGAACACTGGCTTTCATCTTTCTCTGACAGAGGTGGGTTGGGGACTTGCATTGTGATGGTGGCTCTGTGTGGCCTCCGCCCTCAGTTTCCTAACCCCTGCTGCTTATTGGGCAGTTGCAGCTTGAACTTCATTCTAGACTAAGCATTTGGGCTGAGTAAGAAATGTGTATGGTGAGGCCACTCGCTGTCCTCGCAGGAGAGACAGCCTAATGTTGGTATGCTGGACTGTTGAAGGGAAGCTCTCCATCTTCAAACCTCACCATTGTGTTCTCTCCTCGGTCTTTACAGAAGCGTCAATACCACCCAAAGTCTTTCCTGTCATCTCTACCTGAGGGAGACCAGCAACAAGAGGACAGAAGTGTGCACCAGCTTTGAAAACATGGCCGCCAAGCTTTTTCCTTTCTTCGCAGGTTTCCCTCCACCGATTCTGGAGATAGAAGACACTTACCCTATGGCCGGGACAGATGTTAATGTCACCTGCTCAGGGCATGTGTTAACATCACCTAGTCCTACTCTTCAGCTCCATGGATTCCCAAATCTCTCCGCTCCTGGGGAGGCTGTGTGGCTTCTGTTCACTGCCAAGGAGGAAGATGATGGCCGGAATATCTCCTGTGAGGCCTCTGTGGAGGTTCAGGGCCAACGATTGGTCAAAACCACCGAGGTCCAGCTTCATGTCTTATGTAAGTAGAGGCCTGATCTTCCTGGACAAAGTGAAGATACTTAGTGTCTCTTTTAGAGATCTTAGCCTGAAGCTTCATTACTAGAGGGGCCACACCTTTCTAATTCAAAAAATCCAGAGGCGGGGGGATAGAACGCACACCAAGCTTGTCTTGCTTTCAGGAAAGTAAGCAGTATCAAGACAAGGAACGCAGCCCAGAAAGGAAAGTAGTTCTGGGGATCAAGCCCAATTAGTTGAGAGTCAGCGGCTGGGAGACATAAGAGGAGATAGCTGAGGCTGGTGCTAAGAGAAACTTCCAAAATTCTATATCACGACTGTGTTCTGGAAATGAAGACATCCTTATTTCTGAGTTCACCCCTTGCCCATCAAGAAGCTAAGATGGGAAAGGTCCCTGGGCCCCACTGGCATAGCTGTGTTGTTACTTAGCTTGAATCCATAAAAATGCCCTCGGCTGCATCTCATGAGTCTTGCTGTAGAGAAGGGAGGAGAGTGGGTTTGGTTTAAGCAGGGAGCTAATGGTGTTTTCTTTGAGAAAGAAGGTATTGGGATGAGAGAGCAGCAGCAGCATCTAAACTGAAGGGGAGAAATGGGGCTGTGAATGGAAGTTAGAAGGGAACAGGACATAGAACCGGGCTCCTTTTGGGCCTCTTTTCCAGACAAGCCGAGGTTTGAGGAATCCGGCTGCCCTGGCAACCAGATCTGGGTAGAAGGGATGGATCAGATGCTTGCCTGCATCCCAGAGGGAAACCCTGCCCCGGCTTTGGTCTGTGTCTGGAATGGGATGATCATTGACCTTGATGTACCTCAGAAGGCCACCCAGAACCTCACGGGAACCTACTGCTGCACGGCCACGAACCAGCTAGGCTCTGTGAGCAAAGACATTGCTGTTGTTGTCCAAGGTACTGCTGCACCAGACGCCAGGCCTGGGGTAGGAAGGCACCTCAGGGATTTGGGGTTCTTACACAAGCATGGAGGGAAGAGAGAGGTTCCCGAGAGAACTGAGACTGAGAAGTAGGCTGGGTGGGCTTGGGGTGGAGTTACTTTCTTGTCCTCAGCCTTCCTTCCCAGTCCCGTCTTCTGTGCCTACATAGGACTTCGTGAAGGGATCAGCTCCTCCACCATCTTTATCATCATCATCTTCACCCTCGGCTTGGCTGTGATCACCATAGCACTATATCTGAACTACCAGCCCTGCAAAAGAAGCCAGAGGAAACGGGCACATAGGCAGAAGGAGCAGAACAAAGATGAGGAAAGTCAGTTTGCAGACATACAGGCAGAAGACTGCAACTCACATCACTGTTGACTGAAAGCAGCTCTTCGCTCGAGTGTGCCTTTAGCTACCAGCATTTTAAGGGAGGAGGAGGTGTGCCAAGGGGGATGGAAGAGACAGAATGTGACATTGAGTTCCCCTGTGTTCTGCTGTCCCCCAAACAGGCTTTCGGGGCTCCCTGTGGCTTGCATCCAGTCTTTCTGGAGCTCGCCTCTCTCCTTTGAGTTTATTCCAGTTCGTTCCACTCTTAGGCACACAGAAGGAGGCCCTGCCCTTGCCCCTCATTCTTACTGCCCACCTCTCAAGCAGCAAACGGGAAGGATCATGGGAAATATCCTGGAGTAGATTACATTGCTCAGGGATTTCCAGTGACTAACTAGGAGCTTATTTCGTAGTTCAGGGACAAGACTTTACAGGGTAGGCAACAAGAAGATGGGCCGGAATTAGAATTCTGTTTCCCTGTCCATAGTCCCATGCTCCCCAAACAGTGCCCGATGACACCATGAAGGGTGTCACTGGGTTAATAAGCTTCACCACAGAAACCCTCTGCAATTTCAGAGGGTCAGAGTAGTGGCCTACCTAGTATTATAACAAAACAGAAAACCTAGGACTTAAGAGTGCTGCACAAGATGGCCTCAAACTTGTGATCCTCCAGCCTCAGTCTGTGACTACAGGTATATGCCATCACACCCTAATTATTTTAGGCAGCAGCTTTAAAGTAGAAGATAGAATACTTCTATGACCTTGATCTAATAGGGTGCCACACTCCAAATTAGAAGGCTGAGTCCCTCATTTACTCTCCCTCTCCACAAAGAATTACTTGTTTTTGTCTTCTGCCACCAAGTTCCCAGGATGGAAGTGCATGAGCCCACAGCAGAGGGCGTAGCTGGGTCTTAGTTCTGTCAGAATGCTCACATTATGTGCTCGTGATATCGGCCTTTAGAAGGTGTGTGTCCACCTTGGTGAAGGCTTGAGGGAGGTGAAGCCAGGTCTTTTTGCTCCAGGGCTGTCATGAAATGTTTACTGAGATGTTATCTTTGGTAGAAATAAAATGGGTTTTGTGATATATGAGTTTATTCTCCCTCTGTGTCATAACAGAGATTTTGTTAAGCCAAATAAATGGTTGCATTTGGGAACTTTGAGAATAGCTTCCCATTGAGCCGCCAGCCCACGGCAAGTGATGTCAGCTCTTCAGCAGCCTGTTTTTCCTGCCCTCAAAACTGAAGCTCACTACCTGGCAGATGCTAGCTAGAGACAATGCAGCATTGACAGCAAAGTGTGTCTCCCCTTCTTCATGGACCGTCCTGAATCTGAGGTTAGAGATTTGTATAAAAATAACCTTTTGGTTTCACCATACAAGGCAACAGAGGCACAGTGGTAAACAAATTGTTGTTTCTGCCTTTTACAGATGTAGACTCTGTGAGGAATGCGCTGCCTTTTCATCACTGTGACAAGTATCAGGAAGGTCAACTTACAAGAAAGATTTCCACTATAGTTTCCAAGTTTTCCACTTGTGGTCACATGACCTTTAGGCTTGTGTAGAGGCAATCCATTATCGTAGGAGCACAGAGGGAGCCTTGCACACCACGGAAGCAGGAAGCAAAAAGAAAAACATGAAAGGGCTAGGATTCCAGGATTCCCCTCAGGACATTTCACTAGGCACCATCTGGGGCCCTTAAGACATGGGCCTTTGGGGGACCCATATCCAAATGAAGGCACATTAATTTTCGTGACCAGAAAAGCAGGGTTTGTTGAGAGAAAGTCTAAGTCAGGACCAAGGAAGTATTTCAAGTTTATAAGTCAGTATCCCTCAAAGGCCTTCTCAACGTCAAATTCCACACTGAGTTTGCTAGCCCCTACTCCCCATCTTGAGGCTCATACAAAATCACCTTCTCAAGGTGAGCACTTGGGAAAGTCCATTAGGAAGCAGGTCTAAGAACATCTTCATCTAGGGACCACACCCATTTTAGTGTCTTGGATTAGCTGCAAGCCTGGTCAGCATCGGTCTTATCGGCCACAGGGGAAGCCCTAAAGCCCATGAACCCCAAAATTGATGATGCCACTCGCTTCCTGATTCCAGCAAGGGGAGCTGGTAGTTTAGACTGCTGTGGCATCTCACTGCCACATGGTGCCACTGTTATCAGCTGGCCCTGCTGTGTCCCAGTTGGAGACCTCAGATGATCCTGCTGGCTCTGCCCGCCTTTTCACGGTTATATTTCTCGTAGGTTAGGGTACTGGCTGGTTTTGAGAGTCATCACAGAGGAGGGAGCCTCAGCTGAGGAAATGCCTCCACATGATCCAGCTGTAAGGTGTCTTCTCAATTAGTAATCAAGGGAGCAGAGCCCAGCCTATTGTGGAATGTGCCATCCGTGGTAGTCCCGGGTTCTATAGGAAAGCTGAGCAAGCCAGGGGAAGCAGGCCAGTAAGCAGCACTCCTCCATGGCCTCTGCATCAGCTCCTGCCTCCAGGTACCAGACTGCTAGAGTTCTGGTCCTGACTTTCTCCAGTGATGGTCTATGATCTGGAAGTGTAAGCCAAATAAACCCTTCCTCCCCAACTTGCTTTTTGGTCATGGTGTTTTGTTGCAGCAACAGAAACTCTAAAGACAGTACCTGTATCTCTCACAGTCAAGCCTTTTGTTTTCGTTTCTGAGGGCCTCTCTTTGTAACCCTGGCTGACCTGGAACTTGCTATGTAGACTACACTGGCCCTGAATATACAAAGACCTAGTACCCTCTGCCTTCTCTATACCGACATTTGTGTGCATAAGCCTACTTTCAAAATCCAAAAAGACCATTCTTAACAATATTGGCACTATTCCACCAAGACAAGGGACAGGAAAAAAATTCGGCTAGAACTCCATTTCTTGGTTAAACTCTCAGGCTTGGAACCAGGGGATACCTGGAAAGTCTGTATGTGTCCAGTATCCCAGTTAATGTGACTGTCAACTTGACACAGCTTAATGTCACCCGAGAAGAGAGTCCCAATTGAGGGATTTTTTTTTTTTCTCAGATAGGCCTGTGGCATGTCTTGGAGGTGGGGGTTGTCTGATTATTTATTGATGTAGGAAGGCCCATCCCACAGTGGGTGGGACCATTCCCTGGGCAGGTGATCCTAGGCCACCTAAGAAAACTAGCTAAGCAGAGCACACCAGCAAGGAGTACTTCTCCACGCTTTCTCTGCCTGCGTTCCTGCCCTGACTTCCCTCAATTACGGACTAAAACCATACAACTGAAAGGATCCTTTCTCTCCCCTAAGTCGCTTATCAGCAGAGTTTCCTCACAGCAACTAAATGAAACTGGAACACCCAGCAACTAAAAACTGTGCCCCCCTGACTCTTCTGACTTGTGCTGGGCTACCTCTTTAGCCAAATGGGGTGGGGTTTCGTGGGAAAGGGTACTTCTACATCGTCATCAATGAGATCTGTAGTACTTGTGTTAGCTCTGCAGGACAAGCTAAAGAAGATGAGGAAAGATTATGTCCAGGCTAGATGGCTTTATGCTTTAAGAAAGGAGAACCTATCTGCCAGTACAATTCAAAGCCCGTTATTTACTCTCATTAACCTGGTACTTACCATGTTTTAAAAATATGTCTCTGTGTTTTGGAGAGAGAGAGTCTTCCTACGTAGCCTAGGTCAGTGTGAAACTCACTCTCCTACACTCTAGAATGATGGCTCAGCAGCAAGTTTTCCAGCCATTTCAACTTCAGAGTCTTCTCTAGCACCTCTGGTCCTACTGGTCTGAAAGCCAGAGGTTTCTACTCCCGAGGCAGAGTTCTGACAACAGTTCTGACAACAGCTGTTCTGACATCCACAGCAGGAAGCTCTGGATGCTGGCCTCTGCCCTCATGGTTAAGGGATGTGTTATGCTTTGACTTTTGAGTTTCCCCTACAGGCCACACGTTTGCATGCTTGGTCCTCAGCTGGACACTGCTTTGGGAAGGCCATGAAATTTTGGGAATTAGGGATTTAGTTGGTCACCAGGGGCAGGCCTTGAAGATATACCAGCCTGGGTCCAGTCTACCCTCTCCAAGCCTCCTGCTCCAAGATGTGAAAAACTGTCGCCTCACATTATTGATGTGTCAGCTGTCACCCCCTCCCACGTCATGATGGACCTTGGAACTGTGACCCAGATTAAACCTCCTTTTCCTTAAGTCTCTCCTGTTGGGTAGGACCAGAAAGGCACCTGATATAGGATGGAGATCCCTGACAGGGAAATGGGGTAGGTGCCAAACAACCCAGGGAAAGAGGCAGTTGCCTGGCAACAAAAGGCTGATGTAACAGCAGAGTTGCCCTAAGGCAGAACATCATGTGGCTGTGCCTGAGGAAAACAAGACCTCCCCCAAGCTGGCTGGGAACAACTTGGCTGACCAAAATGGCTGCAACAGCACCTCCAAGGGAGAAAACAATTCACAAATGTCCCAGGAATGGCCATAGATACGCCTGTCGTACCCTTAGTGTGAGCCTTGTCTGTCTCACCCCTCAGGAAGACTTTTTACTAGAAAAACACGGCTTAGAATTCTTTGAACTGCCCTGTAGCCCTGGCTGTCCCGGAACTTGCTACATAGACCAGGCCGGCCTCGAGCTCAGAGATCCACTTACCTCTGCCTCCCAAGCGCTGGGATTAAAGGCATGCGCCATCGTGCCTGTCTGGTATGGCATGTGTTTAGTGCTTAAAAGGATGAGGCAAGAGGGTCACAAGTTCAAGGTCAGCCTGGGCTATCTACCATGACCTTATTTAGGAAATAAAGTTTGTTGTGTCAAGCACGGTAACACATGCCTGTGATTCCAGAACTTGGAAGGCGGAACGAAGTGCCGAGATTTTGAGTTTGAGACCAGCCTGGGATGCTTAGCAAGACTGTCTCCCCCTGGGGGGAAAAACGTGACAAGAAATACTCAATATAAAACCTACATCTTCACTGTTAGGAGTGTGTCGAGCATGTACAAATGAATGTGCCAAAGAGTGTGGGCATGCAGCAATAGAGGCCCTTACTCAAGGGGACGGGACCAGCACAGCTCCGGCTATTCCCAAGCAAAGGGCCCAGCTCTTTGTCACATTGCCCGTGTGGGCTGAGAACTGATCATTTTCTACTGGCCATGAGCACAGTATTTTTATTTCTTGTATAAGGTATGGGCCAGTAGTCATCTGGCTTTTTATACTATCCTGGTTGTTGTTATTTAGGATCTTGTTTTTGTTTTTGTGAGTTTTTTGTTTGTTCATTTTTCTGACAACACAGGTTTTCTCTATGTAACAGTCCTGGCTGCCCTAGAACTCAATCTGTAGACCAGGCTGGCCTTGAACTCACAGAGATCCGCCTGCCTCTGTCTTCCTAGTGCTGGGATTAAAGGTGTGCTCCACCACACAGAGTTAATTTTTTTTAAATTTATGTGTATTTATATGTGTTTGTGTGAGTATGTGCCATATGTGTGCAGGTAAACATAGAAGCCAGAGGAGGGTATTGGATCCCCTGTAGCTGGAGTTACAGTTGTTATGAGCTACCCAACATGGGTGTTGGGAGGGGATCTCGGGTCCCCCGGAAGAACAGCAAGTGTCTGGTTTTTCTGGTACACCTGGCCAGGCTGTTTGCAGGGATCAGCATTGGGGGATTAGAGTAGACATATCCATCTGTTATTGAAAAATAGGAGAGTAGCGGAAAGACACATATGCTACTCTTAGCCGGTAATAGGTCATGGATTAAAACTCTGGAGCTCATCTACCTCTGTCCCCATGTGGCCCTTGACCAACTCATTACCATCCATTTCCAAAACGCCTTGCACATTTCACACGGCTGTTCTCCATGTAGGCACTATTTCTTAACTCTATTTTAGTGGGGGTTTCCTTAATGCCTCTACCTCCCTTCCAACCCCCTAACCCTAGGTAGGAAAGCAGGTTAGAAGGGAAAGGGGGTATAGACCTCTTTAAACTTAGCTCTGGCTGGTTAGGGTCGTCAGGATAGCCGCAAACGCAGCAGAGCCGCCTTCTTTCTCTGTCCGTCTCCTTGAAGTTCCCTCGAAGCACCTTCCTTTCTCTGGGCTCTGATATTTATACTCTCCCAGAGTCCTTGGAGTTCCACTAACTCCAGCTGCCAAGGACCACACCCCTCTCTGAGCCCAAGAGGCTGTTACCAGCTGGCATAGACCACGCCCCACACAAGGCAATTATCAGCTGTGGCCAAACTAAAGCAGCCCAATAGCCCACACTTGGGATTAAAATCAAAAAAACATGTTTACATAACACAACTGACTTTTCCAAGAAACCGAAACTTCTGCTACACCCCAGCTTCAATCAAAATAGTTTAATGGAGTTGTCTTGGGTCTTTTAGCCTAGAGAAGGCTAAGGTACAGCATTGTCCCCCTGAATCTGAATCCAGCTGCCACCCGTGTTTGACACCGAAAAGATCAAAGTCATCTACCTGAGGGGCATTGGCGGTACAGCCAAACAAACAAACAAAAGCCCCACAACTTGGCCATGACAGAACAACTGTGGTTGCAGGGTCTGAGGGTCACAGCAGAGTCACTTCTACACAGAAAGGCCCTGCTTAGGTCATTTAAAATGTTTCCCGTATGTATTCGCGTCTAATGTTCGAAACTGAATGTCTTGTATATGTCTGGATGTCCCCACCTCAGACTCTTTTAGAGACTATTCCTCCGTGGTGAATGGTGACAGGGTCAGAGCCCACTTTAGCTTGGCCCTCAGTTCTTCAGGTTACACAGGTCCCCACCATTCTACCATTGTCTCTCTCCCTGACAGGGGAGCCTGCGTTGTCTCTCTCCCTGACAGGGGAGCCTGGGGTCAGTTGTGTTTTATCCCCGCCCAGCGAGCTTTCATCACTTCTGCGTTTATCCGATACCTATTTGGATACGTGTGTGCGCATGTTTGTATGTTCCTGTGTGTGCAGGACACACGTGTGTTTGTGCTTGTGTGGGCAAGGGGACAACTGCAGATGTCATTCCTCAGGCATCTTACTTTTTGAGATTGAGTCTCTCCCTGGCCTGGAACTCACAGCGTGAGCAGGGGTTCTGGCTGTTCCTGCCTCCCGGAGTTCCAACCTCATGCCCTCACACCCAGGTTTGTGTTGTTTCGTTTCTAATGTGGGTTCTGGACATTGAACCCAAGCCCTCATGCTCTCGAGTGCGTATCTTACCAACCAAGCCATCCCTCAGCTTCTGCCTGGTACCCGCTGGGATCACTGCTGCTATCTAGGCACCTCTCTTCCCTGCCCCTTACCCTAATTCAGAGCTTAAGCCTGCTGCTTCTGGTTGGTTCAAACCCATTTGCTTTGTTTTGTGTAAGACAAAGCCTTGCTATATAGACTAAGATATCCTATATCTCACTATGTAGACTAGGCTAGCCTCAAACTCACAGCAATCCTCCTGTCTCAGCCTCTTAACTGCTGGGATTACAGGTGTGTGCCACCAGGCCTGGCTTCCAAACTCATTTTTGAACTGCCTCCATTTCCAAGGGATAGGTGATACAAATGAAAACCCATCTTAAAATTTAGGTGCAACAGTAATTCTATAACTTTACTCATGATTTTTCTCATGAAGACGTTTTTCCTTCTGCATTTCCTAATCTTGGGGACGGAGGGCTGTTTGGTCTTCCTGATTCTGGTTAGAGAAGGGAGGAAAGCCCCTGAGTGCTTTATGGGCGTGCCCTAAGGCCTTGTTGGCTTTGGACTGCTCAGAGAGCTGGGATTTTGACCACTGTAATGGAGAAAGTAAAGGGCTGCTCTTGTAGCAGCCTGCGGGATCCTTGCAGGACTCCTTGATGCATCCTGACAACCCCTCCCCCATCCCATAATAGAAAAACATCTAGCCAAGCAATGTGATGCATCTTAATTTTATTAGGACCAAGCATAGGGGTGGCAGTTGCCTGGGCGTAGGGAAGAGTACTGGGGGAAGAGTACAGCAGACGCGCTGCAGCATGCGGTGCGGCTAGAAGGCACAGCTGCTCTCCACGAAGCGGCGACACTTCATGACCCGCAGGTAGGTCTCGGCCTTGTGCAGGTCCTTCTTGAAGCAGGAGAGCAGCCCGTAGTTTTTGAGCAGGGCATCATCGCTGCGCATGTTGGTGTCAAACTTGTCGTAGGTCTGCTTGAGGAGCTGCCCAACTCGGGGACTACCCCCTTCCAGCTCCTGCAGTGGGAAGGAAGGGCAGGGGAGGCAAAGGAGTCTTGGGAGCTGTGTCCTCCCCGACTCCAGGACCTGGGCTTCATAAGGGGAAGTGAGTAAGAGGCCTTTTCAAGAGTCTAATAAACCGAGAATAGCAGTGAGCCCCCAGCTGGGCTCCAAGTAGAGGCAAAGGGCAGTGCCACGCCCCCCTCCCCGGGCTGAGGACCCCAGCGCCATCCTCACCTGCATCAGAGCCTGGATGCCCTCTTCCAGGTCCTTCAGTTTCTCATAGACACGGTCGGAGGTGCCGAACATCAGGCTGTTGGTGAAGATCCTGCTGAGGAGCTGCACGGGCCCCAGCCACGACTGGATGAGCAGCAGCGAGAAGCGAAGCAGTTCCATGTCCTGAGGGAAAGAGGCTGGGTGCAGGGTATGACCTAGGGCCTTGGGACTCCCAGGCGGCCCCAGCGTCAAGGAGAAGGTGGTCCCTGACCTGGGACACAGATAGGGTTGCTTGGTGGGGGGAAGAGAGGATTTGTGCAGACAAAGCCCTGGTGGCCACTCACGGTTCTCTGTTGAGCCTCCTCCTTGCCTGTGGGGGCTGGGATGGTCTCCGAGAAGCAGAATGCAGCCTGGGCATTCTGGATGGAATAGCGCTGTCCCTCGGGGATGTAGGCACGCTCCTGGAGGAAGAGCAGTCGCTGAGGGACCAGCTTGTGGCTCGCCATCACCACTACCTTATGGAGGGCCCAGCCAGTTTCTGCTCATCTCACGCCATTGGCTTAAGATCTCTGACCCCCCAGTTTTCTTCCATGACTTCCCATGGGCAGGCAGGGGTGTTGGTGGGTGGGGGACCTGCTCCTTGCTGCTTCCACAGTCAGGTACTCACAAACTCTTTGTAGGTGTCAGCGGCCAGCTGGTGCAGGTGCTGGGCTCGGAGAACGGCATTGGCAAACAGACTGGACAGGGGCATGGTGGGGAAAGCCCCAGCCTCCTGAGGCCAGAGCAGGCAGAGCAGGGCGAAGGTGAGGAGCCAGGAGGTCCGAGCGTCTAGAGAGAGAGCCAGGAGAACAACAGCCAATCTCTTCCAGTCCCCAAGGGACCCAGAGTGTCCCCAGCATGGGCAGAAGTTGGGCTGCGCCCAGATTAGAAGCCTCAACTCCACCTTCAGGAGGGCCCTTGGGTCCCTACCACACCCATCGGGTTGGGGTATACTCACCTGAAGCCATTGCCATGCAGTGATCTGTCCGAAGGACCCTGAGCAGTTTGGGATCCGGGGTGTAGGATCCCGGACTTGCCGGCTCCTTTTATACCCTACCTGTTTTCTTCCACCCCAAGGCCTCTGCCTTTTCCCCTATCCATGTATTCATGGGGCTGGGGCCACCGACAGCTTGTGCTGATGGATAATTTAGGAGCTCCTCCCACTCACTGTGTTCCCACTCCTCTCCTGTGGTCATGTCCCTGAGCTTATCTTTCTATCGCCACCTTTGCCAGGCTTATGAGCATCGGTTATGCAAGATCTCAGCCTCAGAGACCACCCAGTGTGTCCTTTTGAGAGTATCCTGAGTCCAGGGGCAGGATGCTCCAGCAGGGTGCTATTTGTTCACTGGGACCCGGGGCAATAGAGCCCTTCCAAGGAGGTGTTGTCCCCATGGATATTTCTTTTCAAATTGTGTGTGTGTGTGTGTGTGTGTGTGTGTGTGTGTGTGTGTGTGTGT